AATGGCCTAGAGTTGTTTTTTTTCAGGATACACAAATTTGTCTGAAACTCTGGCTGAAACTTGTCATACAATGAGGAAAATCATTTTTCGAGAATTGAATTCATTTTTGGACAATTCTGGAACATTCTTCTATACCCTGGAAGCGCTGAATTTGATAGAAGTGAGTTTTCTTTTTGTTTTTGAAAAAAAATTTTTTCAAAAATTCAAATTTTCCAATTTTCCGAAAAAATCAATAAAATGTTTTTTTTCAAAAATCTGTAAATTCTATAAATAATTTTCAGCGCGCCGAACAAAAATGTCGAGAAGAGATTCATTTGTGTGGAATCCATAATATCGAATTCGATCAGGAAAGGAAGAATATGATTTTATGGGACAAATAATTGAGTTTTTGGATTTTTGAAATTTTTGAATTTTTGGAATTTTTGACTTTCCGAATTTTTGAAGTTTTTGAAATTTTTGAATTTTTTGGAATTTTTGACTTTCCGAATTTTTGAATTTTTGAATTTCCGAATTTCTTGTTTTTCGATTTTTTTTGTTGAAATTTTGGATTTTCTAATTTTTTTTTGACTTTTCGAATTTTCGATTTCTTCTAATTTTGTAATTGTTGTAATTTTTTGAATTTTTTGTATTTTTAATTTTTTGAATTTTTGGTCTTTTGAAATTTTTGAATTTTTGACTTTCTAAATTTCCGAATTTCTAATTTTTGGAATCTGAAAATTTAAGATTTTTTAAAGAAAATTCGAATAAATGAAATTCTGAATATTCTCTTATTTTTAAATCCTGAAAATTTTTTAAAATTTAATAATTAAAGAATAATTGGAAAATATCACAAAATGGGTCAAAAAATACTAATTACCTAGAAATGCCCTAACATGGTGTGATTTCTAGGCCATTTTAACATAGTGGCCTAAACTCAACTTGCAAAAGTTAGGCCACCACTTCGAAATGACAAGAAATTTATTGATTCAGAGAGCCGAGTGCACGCTCTCCCCAGTTGAAAATTTGGCCTGCAAGCCTTTTTCTCAGCGGAGCGCGCTTGCATTGTCGTTTAAAAATAGAAAATAAAATTTTGTACTGAAAAATCATGTTTTTTGGGGAAAAAAAAGAGTACTATGCTCATTTTTTTCAAGATTTCGTCCATAGAAAATGTTAACGCCTCGTTTTTCGCCTGCGTCTCGTGTTATGCAATCGCGCTCCGCTGGCTTGCAGTCCGGAAATGAAACGGGGGAGAGCGTAGGAGTGTCAAGGCACCAGAAATGCGTCAATGCACAAGAAACGCGTCAGGGAACGGAAAGTGCGCCAAGACACGGAAAGTGCGTAAAACACGAAAAATGCGCCAACAAAAAATCTGACAACAAATCTGAAAATATCGATTTTTTACATTTTTTTTCTTTTTTTTTCAAAAAAATTTTGATAAGCTGGAATTCTGAATATTCTCTTATTTTTTCGATTATTTTTAAATCCTGAAATTTTTTTTTAAATTCAAAAATCAAAATTTTAGGCGGCAATTTAATAATTTGAAAATAATTGAAAAATATCACAAAATGGGTCAAAATGGGCCAAAAAATCACGAAAAAACCGCGAAAAGGTCGGAAATTCAAAATCATCAGAATTTAAAAATTAGAAAAAAAAATCAATAATTATCGATTATTCCGGGGCGACGTATTTCTGACAATGAAAATCGCATCGTGTCCAATTCTCATCGTTATCAAATCCGTCGAATGTGGAATTCTCAAGTGAAATTGATCATCCGCGAAATCGCTGGGATTTTGAAAAACGCCCAATTCCTCTGTCTCATTTTCAAAATCTATGGGTTCTTGGCATTGAATTATGGCGTTTTTGAAATTCGCATTTCTTCGGAGCGCCTGAAAATTTGAAATTTGCAAAAATTTCGATTTAGAATAGCTGAAAAGGCTAAAAATCATGAAAATTAGAGAAAAAAATGAGCTAAAAATCGTGAAAATCGGCCAAAAATGGACGTGGCCGAGTTTTGGTTTTCTAGGCCACAGAGCCAAAATCTCCCGGAGATTCAAAATTTTTAGTGAAAATGGTTGAAAATTAGCTAAAAATCTTGAAAATCCATTAAAAATGAACCTAGAAACCGATTTGGGAAACATGGCCGAGGTTTTGAATTTTCTAGGCCACCATGAAAAAACTAGGCCAGGGCCTAGAAAATAAAAAACTAGGCCAGGGCCTAGAAAATTCAAAAAATTAGGTCATGGCCTAGAAAATTCAAAAACTAGGTCATGGCCTAGAAAATTCACCGCGGCCTAGAAACCCAAAACCTCGGCCATTGGCCAAAAATCGGTTCCTAGACCTATTTTGGACCAATTTTCGAGATTTTCGGGTGATTTTTGATGGTGGCCTAAAAAACCAAAACTCGGCCACCANATCAAAAATCGATTTTTAGCCATTTTTGACCCATTTCTGACGGTTTTCAACCATTTCTTCGCACATTTAGGCTCGTTTTGAGCGGATTTTTCGTGTTTTCGGGTTATTTCAGCTCCAAAAATGCTTAAAAAGCTCACTCTCAAAAGATATTTGAACTCTTCCATGGGCATATTGTCAACGAGAATTTCGAAATTTTGAAGGTGATAAAAATAGTCCATTTGGATGTCCAGTGGTCCATAGAACCAACAAATCCGCTTGGCTTTTTTCCATTGCTCCGACTGAACCATACTATCGATTGGCGATTCTGCCCGCCGCATTTCATGTGAATTCGGAAATTTCCAACTCGAAAAATTAGGATGAGCAATCGTGATGTTTTCCAGGAATCCAGGTTTTAAACATCCCAAAATCGCCTGAATTCGTTCCGCTCGATTGTCTTGAAGCGTCAAACTCTTAATCGATACTTTATGAGCAACTTTACCGAGTTCCGTGCTGAAAATTCGCAATTTTTAGGCGAAAAAAACCTTGAAAAACACAAAAATTGACGCTAAAATCATTTTTAAAAGCTTAAAATCGAAAAATTCGAAAAAAGTTTTGGTGGCCTAACTTTTTCAAAAATTTGAATTTCTAGGCCACAGCTCATTTTGGATGGCAATATCGATTTGCGGGGCAGTTTTGAACCATAAAATTACGCTAGAAAACTATGGAATTTGAGTTGAAAAGGAGGCTAAAAACTTCGGTGGCCGAACTTTTGCAATTTCTAGGCCACCACATTTTTTTGGAGAAAAATGGGAAATTTACCAGCTGAAGGTGTCAGTTTTTCGAAATTTTGAGTCTCAAAACCTTGAAAATCACAAAAATTGACCCTAAAATCGTATTTCTAGCTTCGAAATCCAGAAAAAAATCGGTGACCTAACTTTTTCAAAAATTTGGTTTTCTAGACCACCACTTTTTTTTTTGCAAAAATTGGACGAAAATCAAGTTTTTGTGAGTTAAAATTTATAGAAAATCGCTGAAATGCGGAATTTTCAATTTTTTGGTTGGTGGCCTAGAAATCCCAAAAACTAGGCCACCAGGTAAAAATTCCAATTTTCGTTGGTTTTTCGAATTTTCAAAAGACTATGACTCATTTTAAGCTGCTTTCAGTTAAATTTTCGAAATTTCTAGTACTTTATATGCAAAAATGACAGAGTGGCCTAGAAATCCAAAAACTCGGCCACGTTGGTTTTTGCACATTTTTCAAGGGTTAGCGGGTCAAAAATGACGTGAAATCCTCTGAAAATAAGTTAAAACCCAAAAAATCTGTCAAAAATGACCCAAAACTCAAAAATTTTTCTGTGGCCTAGAAAACCCAAAAAGTCGGCCACCAGGTAAAAATTCGATTTTTCGCTGATTTTCCCAATTTTTGAAACTCATAGTATATTTTGGGCTATTTCAAGTAAAAATTTGCGTTTCCTAGTGCTTTTTATGCAAAAATGGGGTGGTGGCCTAGAAAACCCAAAAACTCGCACGCTGGTTTTCGCTCATTTTTGGCGGTTAGCGAGTGAGAATTAATGAGAAATCCTCTGAAAATGAGTAAAAACCTCAAAAATCGATCAAAATAACCTGAAACTCAAACAATTTTTGATGGCCTAGAAATCCCAAAAACTCGGCCACCGGTCAAAAATCGGTTTTTAGCATAATTCCGAATCGATTTTTATGATTTTCGGTTTATTTCAGCGTTTTTTGACTCGAAATTTCAAGTTTCCGCGTGATTTTTTTGAAAATGGCCCAAAATTGCTCGGTGGCCTAGAAATCCCAAAACTCGGCCACGTCGTTTTTCATCGATTCCGGACCGGATTTTTGCGAGAAAATCGATTTTGATGTTTATTTGCTTCAATCCTGGCGTTAAAATGGTCCAAAACCTACCGAAACTTCTCCAAAAACGTATAAATGCACGTTTCCTTATACCTCGTCCGCAAATCATATCCTTTAACGCATATACTCAGCGATTTCATTGAATTTTTTGGATTTTTCAGTGCAAACATAATATCATTCACCGCTTGATCCAAAAATTTCCCATTTTTCGGAATTTTGACAAATTTCAAATTTCCAAAATTCTCCATATTTTTTCGCGACGTTTTCCAATTCATTTCTCGGAAATTTTGAATTTTCAAATCTCGTTTTTCTGTGTCCTCTGGTGTCTCCCAATACACATTCAATGGATAATCATTGAATTTCACATAGATACAGTCGGCGGCGATGGTCACGTGGCACTTTTCAAAATTGAAACGCATCGTTTTAAGAATTTCTCGAGGACGACCGCCGGCTTTGTACATTAGGAGTCTGAAAATTTGAATTTTATGTGAAAAATAGAGAAAAAATGAGCCAAATATCCTGAAAATCGACCAAAAATGAACGTGGCCGAGTTTTGGTTTTCTAGGCCACCAAGCCAAAATCACTTGGAAACTCGATTTTTCGTATTGTAAATGGCTCAAAATAGCTTTAAACTCTCGAAAAAAATGCCAAAGAAACAGCCTAGAAACCGATTTTTGACAGATGGCCGAGTTTTGGTTTTCTAGGCCACGAGGACATATTTGGGCCATTTTCATCGAAAATCACTCAGAAAACCAAACATTCGAGTAGAAATAGTCTAAAAATGAGCAAAAAAAAATGGGGAATTGGCTGAAAATAAGCCAAAAATCATAAAATTCGACCAAGAATGAGTCTGGCCGAGTTTTGGTTTTCTAGGCCACGAGGACATATTTGGGCCATTTTCATCGAAAATCACTCAGAAAACCAAACATTCGAGTAGAAATAGTCTAAAAATGAGCCAAAAAATGGGAAATTGGCTGAAAATAAGCCAAAAATCATAAAATTCGGCCAAGAATGAGTCTGGCCGAGTTTTGGTTTTCTAGGCCACCAAGCCAAAATCACTCAGAAACTCGATTTTTCGTATTGTGAAATGCCTTAAAATAGCTTTATAACCATGAAATTTGTGAAAAAAACAGCCTAAAAACCAATTTCGAAACGGTGGCCGAGTTTTTGGGTTTTCTAGGCCATCGAGCCATTTTGGTCGAAAATTACTGTTTTCAGAGGGAAAAATGACAGAAAACTACGGAAATCAACTTGAAAGAACCATAAAAATGTGAAAAAGTGGGTAAAACTATCAAAAATCGTCCAAAACTCAATTTTTGTTTCGGTGGCCGAGTTTTGGTTTCCTAGGCCATGAAGCCATTTTCACCGAAAATCGCTCAAAAATTTGTAAAATCGACTGAAAATAGCTGTAAAATGAGGTAAAAATCAAACAAATCAGTTGAAAACGAGCTTAGAAACCAATTTTAGACAGGTGGCCGAGTTTTTGAAATTTCTAGGCCACCGAGTCATTTTTGGTCAAAAAGCTCACAAAAATACGATTTTTCCACTGAAAATGGTTCAAAATAGCTTTAGAACCTCGGAAAATGACTAAAAACTAGGTCAAATATCGATTTTATACTGGTGGCCGAATTTTGGCATTTCTAGGCCACCAAACTCGAAAATCCCTATTTTTGGGCATTTTTTCTGCCAAAATCGAATTTTTTTGCTGAAAAAATCGAAAACTCACTGCTCTTTCAGTTCCATTCTGCTAAAAATCGCACGATGAGCTCGCACCTTTCTTTCTCTGAAAACTCAAAAGTTTACTGAAAAAATCAATAAATTAACAAACTCTAGATCATATTCCAGCCCTTCTTCGCCTTTTTCGAACTTTTTGAACCAATAATCAAATTCCTCTCTATCGATTTTTTCGGGTAAAAAATCCAAGATTTTCAAGAATGCCTTGTCGATTTTTGTGCCTAATTTGAATTCTTCTAGAATCGCTTGTCGCGCAAATTGTTCCGAGTCATTCGCCATCATTTTTTAACTGAAAAATGCACGATCTCCCACAGAACAATTCCAAACTGCAAATTAATTTTTGATCTACAGAAAAAAAGTTTGGCGCGATCACAATTGCAGGTCTAAAACCATAATTTCAGAATTTTTTATCTGATTTTGTGGAGTTCCAAGATGATTCAAATGAATCTTTTAAAAATAATTAGTGGTTATAGATTAATGTATTCCGGAAGAAAAAATGTCAAAAATGAACTTTGCGCGTAAGCTTTGGTGCTTGTGCACACCTTGCATTCGATCTTACGCGCAACTTTTCAGGCGGTCATTTTTCAGAAATTTTCAGTGATTTTTATCGATTTTCAGCTGATTTTTACTAGAAATTTCTGTAAAAAACCACAATTTTTAAATTGTAAAAATTTTCAGAAAAAATTCAGAACATTTGCAGGAAAAAATCGTTAATTTCAGATTTATTAAAGGTTTATAAAAAATTAACAAGTTTTGAAAAACAACAACAACAACAGAGTAAATGAACAACAGCAACAAATTGGCAAAAACTGAAAAAAAAATCGAAAATTTCCCAAAAAAATCGATAATTCTATCTCAGCAGACTGGTCTTCCTAGTCGTCTTGATTCGTATCGATTTTTCCATGAGACCAATTTCAAAGACACGTTCATCTAAATGCTCTAGAGGATAGTATCGATAATCGGGTGTCGGTGGATCCTGTGGAATATCGATTCCCAAAAATCGATCGATATTTTCGATATCGATTTTTTTGGAGCTGTCCAGTTGGCAGTATCGGAAGGTTGGAGAGGCTTGGAGCACCTAAAAATACATTAAAATATCATTTTTGATAGAAAAGGCGAGTTTTGGGATGATGACCTAGAAATCCCAATTGTTGGATTTCTAGGCCACCGATTCGTAAATAGGCTCAAAATGACACTGATAATCTCAGAAGTCGATTGTTACTAGTTTCAGCTCAAAATCCCAATTTTCAGCCAAGTTATGACCATTTTTAGGTTGATGGCCTAGAAATCCACAAGTTCGGCCACCGTAATTTTTTGAAATTTTGTCTTGACTCATAAAATTAAAAAAAGTTACGTGGCCTAGAATTTTCAAAAACTCGCCCACCTATTTTTCTATGCCATGACCTAGTTTTTGGAATTTTCTAGACCATGACCTAATTTTTAAATTTTCTAGGCCATGACCTAGATTATGAATTTTTTTAGGCCATGACCTAGATTTTGAATTTTCTAGGCCATGACCTAGATTTTGAATTTTCTAGGCGATGACCTAGATTTTGGAATTTTCTAGGCCATGACCTAATTTTCGAATTTTCAAGGCCATGACCTAATTTTTGAATTTTCTAGACCATGACCTAGATTTTGGAATTTTCTAGGCTATGACCTAATTTTTAAATTTTCTAGGCCATGACCTAGATTTTGAATTTTCTAGTCCATGACCTAATTTTTTTCTTGGTGGCCTAGAAAATTCGAAAACTCGGCCACGTTCATTTTTAGCCAATTTTCATGATTTTTGGCTCATTTTTTCTCTTTGTTTTAGCCAAACATAGATCTTACATCTCTCAAATCTCTCAATTTTTCCAATGGTAATTCTGGCACATGAATTTTCAATCTATCAAAATTCGCCAAATTTTCAGCCGAAAAATTGCAAATAAATCGATCGGATTTCAGCGATTTCGCCATTTTCCACTGGTCCAATTTGAGAATTTTCGAAGTCGCCAATCGGATTTTATTGATTTTTACACTTCGAATATCGATTTCTTCAAGAATTCCCGAGGTTAGGTACGGTAGAATACACAGAAGTTCATCTTGATGTTTGGTGTAGATTTCCAATTGTTTAACGTCGATTGTTGGAGAATTTTGTACTGTAGAGAGGACTTCTGAAGCAAAAAATCACTGATAATGCGGCAAGAATCGAGAATTGCGTCAAGGCACCGAAAATGCGTCAAGGAACCAAAACTGCGTCGAAAATTGCATCAAAGATCGAGAAATGCGCTAAAGATCGCGATTTGCGCCAAGGTTCGTGCGCCATGCCACTAAGAATACGGCAAGGCACGAGAATTGCGTCAAGGCACTGAAAATGCGTAAGAGCGCCGAAGTTTTGTCAAGGATCAAAAAATGCGTCAAGACACCGAAAGTGCGCCAAGTATTGAGTAATTCGTTAATGCATAAAAAATACGTCATAGATCGCAAAAAGAGCCAATGAACGAGAAATGCGTCAAGACGCGCTAGAAACACGTCAAGATCCGGAAAGGTGCCAAGAATCAAAAAAACTGAGTGCTATGGCGCATTTTCCGTGCCCTGACTCGGAATTGGTGGCTTTGCGCATTTCTCCTGCCATGACGCATTTTTCGAGCCTTGACCCATTTTCCGAACCTTGGCGCATTTCTCGTGCTTTTGGCGCACTTTCCGTGCCTCGGCGAATTTTCCATGTCATGGTGTGATTCTCTTGCCTTGACACACTTTTAGTGCATTGACGCGTTTTCAGTGCGTTGACGCAATTTCCGTGCCTTGGCGCATTTCAGGTTTCTTGACCAATTTTTCGTGCTTTTTCCCTCATTTTTACCTCCAATCGCTCTATAATACCCCAATCTTTTCTGCGTCTCTCCTCTCTTCTCATCTACCGTATGACAGCTGAATTTCACTGAAATTTTCAATGATTCGATCTTGAGTTTCGGACGATTCAACAAATATTTCATATCCAAAAGTGCTCGTTTTGCTCCTTCCTCTACAGTATTATTGGCATACTGTACCCATTGCTCTGGCTCCAGGTGACTGTAGCTTTCGATGACCATGGTGGTACCGTAATCCTCGATCATTAGATTTATCGATTTTGTGGTTGATGGCTTTTGATCTACCATTTGACGAAGCGATTTGCACACTTTTCGAAGGCGCAGGCTGCAATAATTATTGATTTTTTTGTTTGAAATTTTTTGGCGGGAAATTCAAAAATTCAAATTTCTAGGCCAAAAAATCGTCAGAAATCGTTTTTTCTAGTGTTTTCAGCCAAAAAAATGATTTTTGGCCTTAAAATGCTAAAAAGCTCACTGAGTCCGGATTCCCAACTTGTCTAGTACACGGTCGACGATTTGTACGGGAAGATCGGAAAATTGCACTTTTTGGAGGTCCTGGCTGGAAAATATCGATTTTTTAGTGAAAAATTTGGGGTTTTCAGGGTTTTTTAGCCTAAAAATGAATTTTTTCAAATTTCGAAAAAAAATTTTTTAGGCCAAATTTTTTTTTCTCAATTTTTTAAATTTTTTCAAAATTTTAGGCTTAAAAATTCCCAAATTTTTACCTCACATCCTCATCGAAATTCGAATTGCCGCCCACAATAAATCGATAATACAAAAATTCGAATTCTCGATAATCGATCGATTGATCTTTGAGAATTTCGCAGAATTGAAGATACGACTTGAAAACTGGCGTTTTTCGAATTAGCATCGATTCGTAGATCAAAAATTGGTGTAAAACGAGTTTGTATTGAAGAATGCGCATTTTCTGGAAAAAATTAATGAAAAAAAAATTTTTTTGCTATTTTTTTCGAGAATTTTTATGATAAAAATTAATATTTAACCACAAAATTCAAATTTCTCATAATTTTTTGACGTAATTAGTCTAAAAAACCAGAAAAAACGGTCCAAAACGAGCGAAAATAGGCCAAAACTCGTAAAAATAATTTTTGCGCGTCAAGTAAGGTGCACAAGTCCGCAACACACCAACTCTGCGTACTTTCCGTCCTACAGTAGTCCAAGAAGCTGAAAATTGCTGAGAAAGTCGATTTTTCATGGATTAAAAAGGAAAAATCGGAAAAAATCGGAGAAATTGAAATTTTATTGAAAAAAAAACAAAAATCAATAAAAAATTTAAAAAAATCAATACTCAATTTTTTCATTTTCAGGGACATCTGAAATTTTCAGCCGATGAAAAATGACGTATTTGCATGCTGGATGATGTATGATTTCCAAAACTTCCGGGAAGTTCGAAATTTTGAAATATCGATTTTTTTGGAATAAAAAATTTTGGTCATCGTAAATCTTGTAATACGTGAATATGAATTGTTCCATCGAAGAGGAGGCCAGGAAGATCTGAAAAAATATAAAATAAAATTTTGAACAAAAATCTCACTAGAAATGCGTCAAGGCACCGAAAATAGGCCGCGGCGCCAAGAATGCGTCAATGCCCCGAAATTGCGTCAAGGCACTAAAATTGCGTCAAAGTACCAAGAATGCGCCGAGGCACGAAAATTACGTCATCACACGAAAGTTGCGTCGAAGAAATAGAAATGCGCCAATAACAACAATAACACGCTTTCCATACGTTGGCGCATTTCTCGTGCCTTGACGCATTTTCAGTTCCTTGGCACACTTTTCGTGACTTGACGCATTTCTCGTGCCTTGACACATTTCCAGTGCCTTGACCCATTTTCAGTTCACTGGCGCATTTTCAGTGCCGTGACTCAAAATAGCGCTTCAACGCATTTCTAGTTTCTTGACGCATTTTTGGTGCCTTGACGCAATTTTCAGTCTCTTGACGCAATTTTCAGTGTCTTGACGCATTTTTAGCGCCTTGACGCATTTTTGGTGCCTTGACGCATTTTTAGTGCCTTGGCGCACTTTCCATGCCTTGACGCATTTGCAGTGCCGTGAGGCATTTTTAGCGCCTTGACGCACTTTCCATGCCTTGACGCATTTTCAGTGCCTTGAGGCATTTTTAGCGCCTTGACGCATTTTTGGTGCCTTGACGCATTTTTTGTGCCTTGGCGCACTTTCCATGCCTTGACGCATTTTCAGTGCCGTGAGGCATTTTTAGCGCCTTGACGCACTTTCCATGCCTTGACGCATTTTCAGTGCCTTGAGGCATTTTTAGTGCCTTGGTGCATTTTCGGTGTCTTGACGCATTTTTTCGTACCTTGGCGCACTTTCCATGCCTTGACGCATTTTTGGTGCCTTGACGCAATTTTCAGTGTCTTGACGCATTTCCCGTGCACTCACCTCTTTCAATTTCTCCAAATCTTCCGAATTCATAGATTCCAGAGTCAAATAAATATCTTTAAAATGGCTGAATTTTTCCAAAAAATTCGAATTCACCGGATTTTCAATTGTAATTTTTTCCGCCAAATTCCATTGTTCCAATTCAGAAATTTTCGAAATCTCGAAACTTTGAAAATTCTTAATTACATCGAAAATTCGTATAGTTTTCAATTTCCGGGTGTCCAAAAACCGCAAAATTCGAAAAATATCCGATTGCTCAGCCATTTTGAAAATTACAGTATCCACAAAAAGTGGGCGGAGTCTTAGGAAATCGTGGACAATTGGGAAAAGCTTTCCAGAAAATCCAAAAAGTTGAATTTCGATTTTTTGTTTTCCAAAATTTCCAAAAATCAATTTTAAATCTTCCAGAAATAATTTTTGAGAATTTTCCTGAAAATTTTTTTCCCGAAACAATTTTGGATTTTTTCGAAATTCCAAAACACATCCTCCAATTTCATGGTCCCAATACGTGATTTCCCATTTTTCATCATAAACTACAGTAATCCGATTGCTCATAGAATTGATTTTTATAGAAGAAAAGGTCCTTGGGAATTTTCTATCATCTATGAAATTCCGAAGATCATGACAAACTTTTCGGAGGACTTGTCTGAAAAATTGGGGTTTATGCACCGGAAATGCACCAAGGCACTAAAGTTGCGCCAAGAGTCAAGAGATGCGCCAAGAAAAGCAGAATTTGCGTCAATGTTTCAAGATTTGGGTAACGCAGCGAAAACGCGCCAACGCACTGGATTTTCGTCAAGTCACCGATAAAGCGTCAAGGTAAACACCCCGTTGACTCGTGTTCGGTTCTTTGACGCTGGTTCCGTGCAGTGACTAAATTTTTGATTTCTGGCGCATTGACGCATGTTTTGTGCGTTTGTGCATTTTTCGCGGCTTGGCGCATTTTTAGTACCTTGTCACGCTTTTGGTGCATTGACGCGTTTTTGGTGCCTTGGCGCATTTTCGGTGATTTGACTCGATTCTGGTGCCTTGACGCATTCCTTATGCATTGACGCATTTCTGGTGCATTTGCGCGTTTTTCGTGCTTTGAAGCGCTTTTAACTTGACTGTAAGTTGACTAACTTGTAACTTGGAGCATTTTTGCGACTTTGCGTATTTTCAGTGCCTTGACACATTTTGGGTGACTTGGCGTGTTTTCAGTGCCCTGACACATTTTCAGTGCCTTGGCGCTTTTTCGGTGAAAAACTTACATTTCTCTCACATCCAATTTTTTCAAAATTTCCTTCAAAACCACATCTGGCAAGTTTGACAAAAAATTTGAAGAATCCTAAAATGTTTAAAAAATGAAAAAAAAATTTCGAAAAAATACCATTAATTGATTTTCCAGGAATTTTTCGTTGTTTTGAATTCTCGGAATTTCTGATAATTTTTCAAGAGCAGTAGAATTTTTGGAACCCAATCTGAAAATTTGGAAAAAAAAAGGAATTTTTTTGAAAAAAAAAATGTAAAATTTCGAAAAAAAAAGTGATAAGCGCGAAAGTTTGTTTGCTGATAACAGGAAAAAAATTTCGGTGATGACAAATTTTTATTTGAACAAAAAAAAATTTTTTTTCAAAATTATTTTCTTATCACAAATTACACAAAATCACATCAAAGGGAACACTCTTAACATCCATTTTTTCAAATAATATACGATTTGTATTATGCATTAAAAATAGGAAATTTTTCGAATTACCAGAAATTTGAAAATACCAAAAATGAGTTTTTTCTTCGAAATTTTGGTCTAAATTGTTTGGAGTATTCCAATGATTTGGGTCCTGCAGCGATGGTGGTCCATATATAGATTTCAAATCGTTTTTGAGATTGATTCGCTCGAAAAGTAGCTCAATTTTCTTGAAATTTGGATTTTGGGAGTATTCCTGGAAAAATAGAATTTCAAAAGAAAAATTAAAATGTATTCTATAATTTTTTCCAAAAATAATTATTTAGAACGTTTACTTAAAAGATGTCAAAAATTGATTTTTGAGAGATCCAGGACCCAGGGACCCAGGACCCAGGACCCAGGACCCAGGACCCAGGACCCAGGACCCAGGACCCAGGACCCAGGACCCAGGACCCAGGACCCAGGACCCAGGACCCAGGACCCAGGACCCAGGACCCAGGACCCAGGACCCAGGACCCAGGACCCAGGACCCAGGGACACAGGACCCAGGGACACAGGGACCTAGGGACACAGGGACCTAGGGACACAGGGACCTAGGGACACAGGGACCTAGGGACACAGGGACCTAGGGACACAGGGACCTAGGGATCTAGGGACACAGGACGGAAATCACGCCAAGGCACTAAAATGTGCCAAGGACACGTCAAAAGCGCAAGAAGCTCATGTCTTGGATCAATGCACCAAAAAGGCGCCAGAGCACGAGAAATGCGCAAAGCCGAATTTTTAAAATATTAAAAAAAAAACCAACCTCTTTCAAAATCCTTAAATCCTCTACAGTAATCTTCGCCACTCTCAAAACACATTTCCTCAAATGTCCCAAGTTTTGAAAATCCGAAATTTCGATTTTTGAGTGTAAAACCAATTTTTCCAAGTTTTTCCATTGATCCAATTCCATGATTTTATCGATTTCCCATGATTTTTCTTCTTGATTTCCATTTGGATTTTCAAAATAAATTTGAATTTTTTTCAAAAATTTCGAATCCAAAACCTTCAAAATTTCCAGCGAATCCTTCTGGTCCAGAAGTACCAACGGCAGAAATTTTACTTTAATTTTTTCTTTTCCTTTTTTCAATTTCTCCACAAAAATCTCCAGAAATTTCTTCAAAGAATTTGGGGAAATTTTCGATAAATCCATATAAATCCTCTCAAACTTCGGCCCTTGAAAATCCAAAAATCCGCAAAAATCGTTGGAAAAAACTTGGAAAAAATTGGAATTTTCCAGAATTTTCGATTTCTGGTCCATTGAGAATACTGCATTTCCATTTTTATCGTCTTTATATTCCATTGTGAAATGCCGATCGTCGATTTCAAAAATTATATGGTCCTCAAAAATTTCGAATCCCAAAACTTTGATTTTGGAGATTTTTGGTTTTGTGTCATCGATGAAATTCCGGAGATCGTGGCAAACTTTTCGCAGATTCAGACTGAAAAAACGCACTAAAATTGCGTCAAGGCATCAAAAGTGCGCCAAGGCACCAAAAATGCGCCAAGGCACCGAAAATGCGTCAAGACACTAAAAGTGCATCAAGGACCGAAAATGCAGTAAGTTCATGTTTTTGATCACTTGGCGCGCTCTTGGTGCCTTGGCACTCTTTTCGTGTCAACACGAAAAATGAGCTAATGCACTAAAAGTGCGTGGCACCGAAAATGCGCAAAGGCACCAAAAATGCGCAAAGGCACCACAATTTGCGCCAAGGCACCGAAAATGCGCCAATGATCTGAAAATGCGTCACTAAAAGTGCATCAATGCATCAAAAATGTGTCAAGGCACCAAAAATACACAATGTCACCGAAAATGCAGTAAGTTCATGTTTTTGATCGCTTGGCGCGCTCTTGGTGCCTTGGCACACTTTTCGTGTCAACACGAAAAATGAGCTAATGCACTAAATGTGCGTCAAGCAACCAAATTGCGCCAAAAAACCCATGAAAAACTCTTGCCACATTCTCTGTTTCTTGACGCACCTTTCGTGCACAAAACCAAAAATGCGCCACTGCGCTGAAAGTGCGTCAAGACACGGAAAATGTGCCAAGACACAGAAAATGCAAAACCTGATATTTTTGGTGCCCTGGCGCATTTTCGGTGCCTTGACGCATTTTCAGTGCCTTGGCGCATTTCCGGTGCCTTCAAAAACACGCCAACTCACATGGATTTTAAATCGCAAAACTCGGTGATTCGTTTAATTGGAACTTCCGGAATTGTTAGAAGAGTCGGAGGTGGAGTGCCCATTTTTCTGAAAAAAGGAAATTTCAAAATTTTGAAAAAAAAGTGGAAAAAATTTTTAAAAAACAGGGGGAAAATGTGTCTCCGGGTTTCCTTGGAAACCGAAAATGCGAAAAAATGTGGAAAAAGAGAAAAGAAACACAGAGAATCGGATTTTATCAAAAATTTAGAATTTTCAGATTTTTCGAATTTATGAACTATCTAAAAATTTGATTTTTTCTTTTTTTTTCTCTGTCCAAAACGACACAAAACCACCTGAACACACTATGAGGAGAGAGAAAAGAGTTTAGAGAAAACGAGAAAAAAAAATGAAAAAAAAACAAGACGAGAGAGTGTGGAAAAAGAAGTGAGCGCGCAGAGAAAAATGTCTGCGTCTCTTTTTGTCTATTTTTTTTCGTTTGTTTGAAAAGGGAAATTTTGAATCTAACGATTTTTGGAGACTGGCAATCATGAAGACTACTCAAAAATTTCAGATGATCTTGGAATTTCCAAATTCTGAAAAGTCTGAAAAAACTATCAAATATCGATTGGAAGATGAAAAATCTCTGGAATTATTTTCAAAAGAATTGAAAACAATTTTAAAATTTCAGAAATCGATTTTACCAATATTTTGTCTAGATTTAGAAGACTTGGAGAAAACAAAGATACCGGAATTTTTCGAAATTTTTTCGAAAATTTTGAATTCCCGCGGAACAAAAAATTCACTAAAAATCAAAGAAATCTATTGTAACCAGCCTGAAATTCTGGAAATTTTCCAATTTTTGGATTTGAATTTTTTGAAAAGCTTGAAAATTAATCCATTTGATCGAGTGTCTGAAAATGCTGAAAATCTGGAAATCGATTCAAAAATGTTGGAAAACTTGGAAGATTTGGAAATTGGAAAATTCATTTTGAATCGAAAAATTCAAGAATTTTTCGGAATTCGGGATGTTGATGTTACAGTAATCCAGATTACTGTAGAGGATTTGATGGAGTTTGTAAATGTGGGTTTTTGAATTTTTAAACATTTGAATTTCAAAATTTCAGTTTCAGAATTTCGGGATTCCAGAGTTTTTAAAATTTTGAGATTTCGTGTTTTTGAATTTTCGAATTTTCTGAATTAATTGAAAATCCACGAAAAATCAATGACGTATTTTCGGTGACTTGACTCATTTTCGGGCATTTTTTTTCAGAAAAAATAAATATTTATTCAATTCATAACTCTCATTCTTTCAAGAACACTTTCAATTGTAACAAAACGCAAATCAATTTTTTTGCGTTGTGAATAATGACTGATTTCCAAAAGTTTAGTGGAATTCGGCACTTGGACCATCCATCGAGCGAATTCTCCAGTTAAATTCAAATTTCCATGATTCACAGGTCCCAGGCGATTCAAAATTTGTTGGTCTCCGACGAAATTTTGATAGTGGAATGATAAAAATCCAAGGTTTTCAAGTTCGACGAGTTTCTGAAAAAAACAATTTTATTTGAAAATTCAGAAATTCGAGAATTCAAAAACCCACATTTACAAACTCCATCAAATCCTCTACAGTAATCTGGATTACTGTAACATCAACATCCCGAATTCCCAAAAATTCTTGAATTTTTCGATTCACAATGAATTTTCCAATTTCCAAATCTTCCAAGTTTTCCAAAATTTTTGAATCGATTTCAAGAATTTCAGCATTTTTAGACACTCGATCAAATGGATTAATTTTCAAGCTTTTCAAAAAATTCAAATCCAAAAATTGGAAAATTTCCAGAATTTCAGGCTGGTTACAATAGATTTCTTTGATTTTTAGTGAATTTTTTGTTCCGCGGGAATTCAAAATTTTCGAAAAAATTTCGAAAAATTCCGGTATCTTTGTTTTCTCCAAGTCTTCTAAATCTAGACAAAATATTGGTAAAATCGATTTTTGAAATTTTAAAATTGTTTTCAATTCTTTTGAAAATAATTCCAGAGATTTTTCATCTTCCAATCGATATTTGATAGTTTTTTCAGACTTTTCAGAATTTGGAAATTCCAAGATCATCTGAAATTTTTCAGAAGTTTTCATGATTGCCAGTGTTGAAACATTGGCTTCTGGTTTGGCTCGGTCGATAAAATTCCGGAAGTTTCGAGAAACTTTTCGGAGGGAATGGCTGAAAATTTGAATAACATTACCGTAAACACTCTGATAGAACGCCACCCGGACCGCTCAATTTTTTTTTTGGCTCAATTTTTTTTTCAAAAACTCACATTTCTAAAAATCCGCACTTTTTCAAAATTTGTGCCATCACATCTTCAGGAATTTTAGAAAACGTTGTTTCAGAAGTCATTAATTTTTCGTTGAATCTGAAAATTTTAATTTTTTTTTGAAAATTTCGATTTTTTTACAATTGCGAAATATTTCTCAAAATTTAGTGTTTGTGTAAGGAAACAAAAAATACGTCATTTGTAAAAAAATTGTTTGCAACTGATAAGAAATGTATGGCTCCCCGAAAAACCGGAAAAAAGATTCAACAATTTTTCTCTTCAATTTTTTTTTCTAAATTAAAGGTGGGGGGACATGAAAAAAATAATGTTCTCGAAATTCCGTTCAAAGATGCCCCTCGAGGAGTTGAACTTGTGAGGGCGATGATTGAGGGTGCGGCGCCGCTACCGACTGAGCCACGCGGGCAAAGAGAAAGCGGACGCCCGATTGTATACATAAAGGCGAGGGCGACAGCTATACGCAGAGTGACATTAAGCGTTGTACACCGTCACGGTAGAATGCATACTCTAGCTACAAAAAAACTAAATCTCCTGTCCCCCCACCTTTAAAGAAATTTAAATTTCCAGAAAAAATATGACGGATTCTCAATTGGAATTGATAAATATTCCTGATGTGGTGATGAATGAAATACTAGAATATTTGGATTTTCCAGAAATGTGAGTAATTTTTTAACAAAAATTTTTTTTTCGCAATTTTTAACATGCTTTGACGCATTTTCATCGCCTTGGCGTGTTTCTCGTGTCTTGGCGCACTGTTCGTGTATTAGCGCATTTTTGGTACCTGGATGTATTTTCCGTACCTTGACGCGTTTTGAGTGTCTTGACGCATTTTCGCCTTTTCACATTTAAGGTGTCATGGCGCATTTCTAGTGCGTTGGCTCATTTCCAATTCTTTTACACTTTTCTGGTGCTTGGACGCAATTCTGATGCCCTAACGCATTTTCAGTGACTTCACGCAATTTTGATGCATCGACGCATTTCTAGTGCCTTACCGTTTTTTGGTGTCTTGGCTCATTTTCAGTGCTTTGACGTGTTTCTCGTGTCATGGCGCAATTTTGGTGCCTTGAAGCGTTTTGGGTGCTTTGACGCATTTTCAGTGTCTTGACGAACTATGCGTGGCTTGACGCATTTTCCGTTCCTTGGCACGTTTTTGGGGGCCTTGACGCGTTTTTAATGTTAGGGCGCAATTTCGGGGATTTTACGCATTTTCGGTGTATTGACGTATTTCTCGTGCCTTGACACAGTTTTAGTGTCTTGACGTATTATCGGTGCCTTGACGCATTTTTAGTGTATTGACGTATTTTCGGTGCCTCGCTGCATTTCTCGTTTCTCTACGAATTTCCGGTGCCTTGGCGCATTTCCTTGACGCTTTTCTAGTACTTTGACGCATTTTATGCTACTTGACGCATTTCTAGTGCCTTGACATATTTTTGGTGGATTGGCGCATTTCCTTGACGCTTTTCTAGTACTTTGACGCATTTTATGCTACTTGACGCATTTCTAGTGCCTTGACATATTTTTGGTGGATTGGCGCATTTTTTATGCATGTCGCATTTCTCGTATCCTGGCACATTTCTAGTGCCTTGACGCTTTTCTAGTGGTTTGACGCATGTTTAGTGCCTTGGCATATCTTACGTTGCTTTGCGCGTTTCTGATGGCCAGTGTCTTGACGCGTTTCAAGTGCATTGGCGGATTTTCGGTGTCTTGGCACAGTTCTAGTATCTTGACGCTTTTCTCGTGCCTCATTCCAGAATTTTTCTTTTTTCAGACTGAAACTACGCAAAGTTTGCCACTATTTCAAGGATTTTATCGATGAAGTCAAGTCAAAATCAATTTTAAAGGATATTAATATTATTTTCTACCCCAAGGAAATTCGATTCGATCTGTTTTCGGTTCAAAACGAGAGATATGTAATTTTGTATGAAAAATTCCAAGCAAATGGATGTCGAGTTTCCCAAAATGGACGAGAGAAAATTCTGGAAAATTCGGATTTTCGAGAAATTTTTATACGAGATTTGGAAATTTTATTGAAACTTCAAAAATCGATTTTTCGAGTTTTTCGATTGATCAGAAGAGACCAAAATGATTTTGATTATTTTTTGGAAAATTTTCCAAAAACTCCAGAATTGAAAATTCAAGAATTTTATATGGATGCGGGAGATGATGCCCAAAATGAAATTTCGAAAATTTTAGGATTTTTGAATTCGAAATTCTTGATTTCACTATCATTTCATCCCTATGGCGGACGAAAAGTTTTAAATTTATCGGAAATTTCGAAAATGGACCATTGGAAGAATGCTGAGCAATTGTATGTGAATCGGAATATTTTTGTGATTTTGGATGTTTTGAAATTGGAACATTTTTCGTTGGTGGAAGTGAAAATGGATAGATTGAGAGGAAAGGAATTGTTGGAATTGAGAGAGGTGGGAAATTTTTGAAATTTTGGAAAAAAAAACACATTTGAAAATCGAAAAATTATATCGAAATTTGAATTGAAAATTGAATTTGTTTCGGAATCTCAAAAACTGAAAAATGTGAATTTCTGCGATTTTTGAGAATAATCTGAATTCCGTGAGAATCCAGGCTATGGTGGCGTTATTGTTACAGTATCTGTTTACGGCATGTTGGCGCGTTTTCGGTGCTCACAGCACAAGAAATACGCAAAGACACAACAATGCCTCGAGTCACGAGAAATGCGTCAACGCTCCTGAAATGCGCCAAGACAATGATAAAATGACTTATTGACACGTCTCTAGTGTCCTGACGCATTGTTGGTTTATTGGTTCGTTTCTCGTGCTTTGGCGCCAATTTGGTGTCCTGACGTATTTCAAGTGCCATGGTGCATTTCTGCTGCTTCGACATATTTTTGTACCTCGACGCGTTTTCAGTGCCTTAACACGTTTCCAGCCTTGTTGCGCTTTTTCCGTGCTTTGCGTGTTTTCAGTGCCTCGGCCTGTTTTTGTTGCCTTGTGTACTTTGAAAGTACTATGCTCATTTCTAGTCCCATGACACATTTTTGGCGCCTTGGCGCATTTCTAGTTCCTTGACGCAATTATCGTGCTTTGACGCAATTCTAGTGCTTTGGCGGAAATTCAGAAATTCAGAAATTTTGAAATTCAAAACTTCTGAAATTCAAAAATTCAAAAAATCAATGTTTCCAGATGCTTCTCAACCGTCTCGAGTTTGCCGAATTCAACTTTGACTATGTGAATTTTGACGATGAAAAAGAATTTTCGGATTTTTTGGGACCCGACTCAATGACATTTTTCCAGATGAAGAGTTCAGAAGACGTTCTCAGAATAACACATAATTCAGAAGTTTACTCTGTGAATTTTAAGAGAATTCGGAAAGAAAATGTCCCAGAAGGATTCTCAATTTATTGAAATTTTAAAGGTGGCGGGACAGGAGATTTTACGGGGGATTTCCGGGGCCAGAGTATGCATTCTACCGTGACGGTGTACAACGCTTAATGTCACTCTGCGTACAGCTGTCGTCCTCGCCTTTATGTATGCAATCGGGCGTGCGCTTTCTCTTTGCCCGCGTGGCTCAGTCGGTAGCGGCGCCGCACCCTCAATCATCGCCCTCACAAGTTCAACTCCTCGAAGGGCATCTTTGAACGGAATTTCGAGAACATTATTTTTTTCATGTCCCCCCACCTTTAACTTTTTTATTGTTTTGAATTCAAATTAATAAAGATTTTTTTATAAATTTCAAATTTTGGAATTTTCATAAAAATCAAGTGAAAAATCGATAAAACGAAAAGAAATGTTGAGAAAAAGTGAGAGAGTGTCAGAGAAATAGAGAAAAAAAGAGGAAAAAGTACAATTGGGGAGACTTGGGGAAATATTTCGCAACTTTTCGAAATTTGTTCAGAAGAAATTTTGAAATTCAGAAATTCAAAAATTCAAAAATTCAAAAATTCAGAAAAAAACAGAAATTCTAAAATTCAAAATAAAATCGGGAATTCCTAAATTTAAAAATCATCAAAAATCCACAATTTCGTTTTTTTGGATTTCCAAAAATTTATTTTTTTTTTGAAATTACAAATTTTTACGTTTTTGAATCTTGAAAATTCTGTATTTTCTGCCCGAATTTCGTAGTTTTTCCCGATTTTTTCACGTCATTTTTTCTCCAAATGATCAAACTAACAAAAATTTTTTTCTCTTTTTCTCTCTCCATGATTACAAATATTTGAAAAGGCCATATTTATTTAGTGACATGATTTTTTTTCTCTCTTCTCCATAAAAAGAAAAATGATAAGTGTAAAAAAATTTAGATTAAAAATTTCACTAACCATAAAACCTGTATTAGAAGGGCCGGCTTTTCTATTGTTCCAAGGTATTTCCGGAGGGCCCTTCAATTACAGGAGCCCTTCAATTAGAGGGGCGTTTTTTCCGAAATTTTGAATCAAAATACACAACGAAGTTTCGTTCCAAATTCATGAAAATCTGCCAATTTCACTAAAATTTAGCAAGATTTTTATCAAAAAATAGAGTTTCAACAAATTTCTATCAAATTGTGGAGTTCCCGCAACTTTTTCCACTGAAAAAGTGCGGAAATTTTCTGAACTCGAAACACATTTTGAAGGGTGATCCTTTTCCTTTTTTGGCCCTTCTATCTTTCCAAGCCCCTCTCGGAACCCATCTATTAGAAGGGCCCTTCTATTACAGAGCGCCCTACTAATACAGGTTTTACGGTATTGTGATTTCAAGCTTTGTTTCAGTGGTACTTTTTTTTGAACTGTAAAAATTTAAAATTCGAAATCAAAACTCAATTTTCAAAATTTTTTCTTTTCAGATGTGTACTATTAATCCTAATTTGATAAATATGCCAGAAGTGGTGATTAACGAAATTCTGGAAAAATTGGATTTGAGAAATATGTGAGTTTTTGGAGTTTTAATTTTTTGGGCTTACCGTAAACACTCTAATAGAACGGCACTTGGACCCTCCACTTTGAGCCTATATATCTCACTTCTTTTAAAAGATATCTGAAAGTTGTCAACTGATAAAATGTTTATCATGTTATCAGCAACATTTTATCAGTAACTACTTTTTGATATCTCTCACAGAAAATGAGATACATGGGTTCAACTTTGACGATTCGGGTGGCGTTCTATTAGAGTGTTTACGGAAAGTGTTTCAGAATTTCAAATTTTCGAAATTCCAAAACTTTTTTTTTCAGAATAACTCTCCGAAAAGTGTGCAAATCTCTTCTCTCCTTCATTGATTCCCAAAATTCACTTCCCGAACTAATCGATTTATCGATTTTTGTGAATTTCGAAAAAATCGAAGTTTGGTATTATCATAAAAATGGCTTGAATGTAGTGGGTTACTGTAGCCAGAATAATAGGAATGACACAAAACTCGTTTTTTCAAACTTAGAAGAAAATTCCAAAATTTTAAAAAATCAAAATTATTTCACAAGTTTTTTGACGGATTTCAAATTTTTCATTTCCCGCCAAAATTTTCAAATTTTGAGGCAATTTCGATTGACAAGATATGAGTGTGAGGAGACAGGGAGTACTGTATTTCTTAAAATTTTTGAAGACATTTCGAAAATATTGAAATCTAAGCCACGTCCACTTTCAGTGGAAGAACTCTTAATTGGAGTAGTGGATGATAGTGAATTGATAAAAATTTTGGAATTTTTGAATTCAAAAAATTTGAAATCAATAAAAATTAGCTCAAATTCACTGAAAAATCAATCGATTAATTCGGAAGAAATCGAAAAATTGGATCAATGGAAATCGGCAAAAAATCTATCAATCGATAATTTTATTCTGGAAATTTCGTTGGAAAAATTATTGCATTTTTCATTTTTGGATGTGAAATTGGAAATTGTGGATGCTCGAAATTTGCTGGATTTGAAAAATGTGAGTTTATTGAAATTTTCCAAAAAAAAAGTTTTTTTTCGAAATTTCTGAATTTCAGAATTTCAGATTCTAGAATTTCTGAATTTCTGAATTTTTGAATTTCTGAATTTTTGAATTTTTGAATTTTTGAATTTCTGAATTTTTCAATTTTGTTAATTATGTGAATTTCTAGATTTTTGAATTTTTGGATTTTTTTTTGAATTTTTGAATTTTTGAATTTTTGAATTTTTGAATTTTTGAATTTTCGAATTTTTGAATTTTTGAATTTTCGAATTTTTGAATTTTCGAATTTTTGAATTTTTGAATTTTTCAATTTTTGAATTTTCGAATTTTTGAATTTTTCAATTTTCGAATTTTTCAATTTTCGAATTTTTGAATTTTTGAATTTTTGAATTTTTGAATTTTTGAATTTTTGAATTTTTGAATTTCTGAATTTCAGTTATTTAGAATTTCAGAGTCTAGAAATTTTGAATTTTGAAACTTCAGAATTTTCGAATTTCGGAATTTCGGAATTTTTGTATTTTCGAATTTTTGAATTTTGAATTTTTCAAATTTTAAAATTTCAGAAATTCCTGGAATCGACGGACCCCAAAGAATTCGTTTTCACTTTTGTGGGAATGAAAAATCAGGAAAAAATTCTGGAATTTTTTGGAACTCCAGAAATTTTGAAAAACATTTTTGGCCAAGAATCACAACGATGGAAGCTACAGTACCCGGGAAATGAGAAAATTCTGGAAATTCAAATTTGCAAAAATTGGTGCAAATTCACAAATATCGAGTCGTTGGAAGAGCAAGTAAGACGGAGAAGAGAGGAAGCTGAGCAATTGGAAAATTCTGGAAATTAATTTTTTTCTTGTTTAAAATTTTTTGAAGAATTTTTTTTGTAATAAAATGTTTTCAATATGAAATTTTTTGGGCACTGAAAATGCGCCAAAGCACCCAAAATGCGTCAAGGAAGGAAAAGTACTATACGGAACCAGAAAATGCGTCAAAACACCGTTTTTATTGCCTTGGCGCATTTCCAGTGTCTCAACGCATTTAAGGTGAACCTTGACGTCCATCTTGTGACTGGATTCATTTTAAGTGCCTTGACGCTTTTTTGGTTACTTGGCACACTTTCTGTCCTTTGAGGGTATTCCGGTGCTTTGAAGCCTTTCAGGTGCCTTGGCGTGTTCCTCGTGCCACTTTATGTCAATCGTTTTGCTTTGACGTAGTTTCAGTGCCTTGACGTAGTTTTGGTGCATTTGCGTATCTTATGAAAAGTTTCGAAACTTCGAAAAATGTAAATTTTATCCTTATAAAAAAAGCAAAAAAAACACTTCTTGAGTACAGAAAAATAAAAATCAAATTGAATTAAAAATTAGAAAATTTCCTCTTCATTCGACAAGAAAACTCTACAAAATCTCCAATAATTTTCGTCTTCAGTCGATTGGAAAACAATAAGTGCATCTCTGGAATTTGGAATTCGAATTGTCCATTTTGCTGAATTCTCTTCGTTGACAACGTTCTGTGGTCCCAAAAAATCCGAAAACTTTGACTCATCCGGAAAATCCAAATACTCGATACAGTAATCTTTGGGGATTGGAGAGCTCAGGAATTTCTGAAAAATAGGAATTCTGGTATTTTGTGAATTTTTGAATTTTCGATTAGTTGAATTTTTGAATATTCGAATTTTTGAATTTCTGAATTTTTGAATTTTGTGAATTATGTGAATTTCTAGATTTTTGAATTTTTCGAATTTCTGAATTTCTGAAATTTTGAAATTTTGAATTTCTCAATTTCTGAACTTCCGAATTTTGGAATTTCTGATTTTCTGAAGTTCAGAATTTCAGAATTTTCGAATTTCTGAATTTTGAAATTTTTGATTTTTGAATTTTTGAATTCCAGAACTTCTGAATTTCTGAATTTCTGAATTTCTGAATTTCTGAATTTCTGAATTTCTGAATTTCTGAATTTCTGAATTTCTGAATTTCTGAATTTCTGAATTTCTGAATTTCTGAATTTCTGAATTTCTGAATTTCTGAATTTCTGAATTTCTGAATTTCTGAATTTCTGAAT